GAACTTTCTAGATGCGTGCACCGCGCGCCGGCCGCCCGCGTATTCTGCGGGCTGCGGGCCGTATGTACTCAATGTCGGTCCCACAGTTCCACAATCTGGAACAACACTCGAACCAACTGGAAAGTTTATATCTGCAACATGTTTAATGCCGTATTGACAATCTCGAAATAGGAAGCCTTGTTTATGTGACGTGCTTGTAGCTACGAGGTCGGGAGATTGATGAGTATAAACACTTCGGTAATCAATAACAGACGCACACACATACGCTTAATCAACGAAAATGACGAATGTAAACAACTAAAGTTATTAAATATCACTTGGGATTTTAGGGCTTGGTATATCTGTTACTGTTACGGTCATCTCCATCTCGTCTCTGTTACATTTTCATGATGGAGAACCTACTGCTTACGGTATTTTACGAGTATATCAAGCGACGTCATAAATACGCGCCGGCATTTCTTTATTACTTGAGCATCACCATCACCATCACCTGCGTCGTTCGATTTAATCGATAACGGAAATTCAATAAATAATAACATTTTTTTTATTGACACGCTCCGTCTTGTCGGTTTCATTAAAAGTATCGTTTCCATTAATTAGAAAAAACAATTCCTCTCAGGAGAATATGTCGTAGGAGTCTACAAAATATACTATATTTAAATGTAGGTTCACATCAACACTCTTCTGTTCTGTCTCAGTTATCGACGGTCCAAGGGTCAAACGTGAGAGGTCCAGAACACTAGAACTATAATCTACAGAAACACAATAACAAGAACTTTTTCATTGTTAAATCCGTAGTCACCTGTATCTCTGTGAATATTATTTCCAAGATATCAGATAGAGCTTTGCCTTAAGATTTTGGAAAAAAGTGATTATTAAGCGTTTACACTAACTTAGTTTTTTTTAAGTTGACAAAGGTCGACAAAGCATTTAAGCAACAATCTTGTTGCTGGTAGACTAATAAAAATGACTCACTTGTAGCGTACGGAGAATTGAGAGTAGTGTTTAGTCTCGGCGGGGCTGGCGATGTGGCAAGGGCATTGTGTCGACGTTGACGCGACGCCACGTGTCAGTTGACGCATCGAACATTGTCAGGTCTGCTCGGAGCTTCACTAGTATTTTGTCTTGTTAAAGCCATTACTTACATACCACTTATGCAACTATGGACGTTGATAATCTGTTACAATACGGCTAAGTCCGTTTTGATTATACTTTTTTTATTAGATGCTCACAATCTAGATAGGGTTGTCATAAATATTAAAGAAAGAAGTAACTATATGATTAACTTGCTATTGCCCACCACTTCCCCCGTGTGAAGTTTTAAAGTTCCGAACTTACGTTCACCCCTTTTTTCAACTTATCACCTTAAGTATTACCTTAGTTGTAATCTACGTAATAACAGAAATCTACCGATGCAAGATTCCAAATTTTTAAGCCCGATAGCTTGTAAGCTGATTTTTCGGTTACCCTTATTGTTGTGTTCGCGATATCTTCTAAACTATTAGTCATTATGATTTTTATATACCTCTAACGGTTTAGACAGCTCGGCTTACGAGAAAAGTTCAGTGAATTTTTAACGCCGGCGCACAGTGTTTCGTGTTGTACGGAGAGGTTGGCCAAAATGCCAAACACAAAATTGAAGTATTGTAAACTTTTAAAAATATCAAAGGATAGCTCTATATATAGCACATTTAGATTTGTAAATAAAAAAAATATTCAATGTATGGTTTAGTCATAATAACCGTAGTAAAAGTAGTCATTATTGAACATCGGTTTGGTCGAGAAAATATGATAACTTTAAACAGATTATTATTCCACTAAAAAAGTTAATCATGTAGTAAATCTTGATATCTTTTATTTCGTCATGACATGTATTATGTTTAGATCCAAAAATTATGTGTTTTTATGTATGTGTTACGTTTTCACTAAGCATCGAAACATGTGATAGGTGCCTTGACACAATCTTGTTGTAAACAAGCATTTTAGTTTATGTTCTACGTATTTCTACCCCATAGTATGTACTACCGAAATATAGCTTAGAATGTGTTCTTCTGGATTCCATTGAAAAATATTCCGCCTTTTTCCGGCGCCCATACTGACTTAGCCAAAAAACCGTAGGTGCTCATTTAGGTCTTGTAAGCATTTTCATTTTTTTTCTGTGCATTTTTACCCCATAGTATGTACTACAGAAATATAGCTGAGGGCCTGTTCTTTTATATGTCATTTAAATTATGCGTGTCCTTTTCCGGCACCCATACTAACATAGCCCAAAAACCGTTGATTTTCATGTGATCTTACAAATACCCTTTTGCAAGCATTGTAATTTTTTTTCTGTGCATTTCTACGCCATAGTATGTTTTGCAAAAACGTAGCTGAGGATGTGTTCTTTTAGATGTCATTTAAATTTTGTGTGTCCTTTTCCGGCGCCCATACTAATGTAGCCCAAAAACCGTTGCTTTTCATGTGATCTTACAAATACCCTTTTGCAAGCATTGTAACTTTTTTTCTGTGCATTTCTACGCCATAGTATGTTTTGCAAAAACGTAGCTGAGGATGTGTTCTTTTAGATGTCATTTAAATTTTGTGTGTCCTTTTCCGGCGCCCATACTAATGTAGCCTAAAAACCGTATAAGTGCATATTTATTGATTGGCGTATGTACATAATTATTATATTTTTGTTAATACAATAATTCAGTGACTAATTTACACATATTTATATAAAAACAAATTAAATATCTCCAAATTTGTTAAAAAATATTCCAAAATCATTATTGCCAACCTCCCCATACAACGCGAAACACTGTGCGGCGTCCAGAAACACGCTGTTTATTAATAGTTCTTAAACATTAGTAATAATAAAATATAGCTTATGTTACTCACAGATACCTAATTACCTTTCTGATGGTAAAAGAATTTTTAAAATCGGTCCAGTGGTTTTTGAATTATTTCAATACATACAAAAATACAAACATACAAATCTTTCCACTTTATAATATTAGTATAGAAGTATACATAGATATAGATAAAATGTTTAGTTAACGTCAATTTTTTCATTTTTATACAATTGCATATCTGCGATTTATCATTGTGTTCAATGTATAAGTAGTTGTTGATGTAAATTTAATTTTGTTTTTAGCGTGAACCCACCCAACCTGCAGAGCACCAGTAGCACGCAAATCAAGGAGACCAGCAACGACTCCTCGGGAGGGGCATGGAGGTAAGTCTAGCTGTAAGTTGTCGTAGCTGAGTAGACCACACGACCATCGACCTTCGTGTACTAACATCACTTTTGTATCGGAAATTGTTATAGGTTCGGTCTGTAACTTCTTAATATTGTTTTTAAATTGGAAAAGTAATATTGATGTGCTTCAGTGTTCTGTCTTCATGATGAATTTGTGTTTATCTATTTCTATAGCATAGCATTACAAAGAGTTATTTTACTAAGCGCCATACATTAGATACTTTTAAAAAGTGTTTTCAAGACTTGTAAAAGGCAGATTAGTACGTAGAGATGGTTTTTCATGACATAAAATCTACATAAATATACGCGTTTTGTGAGTATTACGGAAGGAACTGTCAATGGTGGGATTAAAGGAAAATAGTCCGATCTTGTGTTTGTGTGTATAGTGACGGCACACACAGACACAAACACACACGAAACATGCTTTGTAGTATTGAAAGAATGCCGTGACGCGACATTCCCTAACGGTTTTTAAATGTTTTGTGTAATAATAAAATTAATTGTTTAATGTTAAAATAAGCAAACATTTCTTATAAGTAATGAAACAAATAAAGAAATTAGGTTATACATGTTTTCTTAATAAATTTCATAAATATATTCATTTACTACGGAGAATATATGTATTATGAGTTAATATAATGCCGAAAATAATAATTGAATAGTGTAAATGTTATTAAAGATATTTGCTGTAAAAGCATTGACCTCTTAATTCGACGCTAGACTCTGCCTAGATAATTATAAACACGCAGAGAAATACGTATTTTTAAATGAATTTTAACCATAAACAAAGAAAGTTGGTAACTCCACGACGCTCAACGGAGAATGATGCAATTTAAAATGGCGCGTTCGAGTGACGTTTGCGGGAAACATCGTTACAGCTCCGACCAGGAAGGGCGTTCGCGCCTTCGCCCTCGCTTCTTCACTGATTTGATTGAGACTTATTTATTATTGAATTAGGCGTTCAAACAGGATGTTTGTTTGAACGAAAACGTAATAAGAAAATATATTTCTTGATAATCCTATTTTTACAGATATTTTTTTAAGCTATATTTAGTTAATATTACTTAAATTGGGTCTATGATGCTTCTAATGAATGTTGTTAAAAACTCATAGTGTGTCGTAATTGAAGACAATCACACGTCTGATGTTCTTTGGACTTTTTACTGTTTATCAATATTAGTAATAGCTGTTGATCTCGACTTCGTCTCACAGCCTGTATCACTCACTGGTAACGTAACTTTTACATGGTAAAAGAATTTTTAAATTAGTTCAGAAGGTTTTGAGTTATTACAATGCATATAAAAATACAAATTTTTCCTCTGTACATATTATGATGGTCTCAGGATCTAAAATAACGCCGTGTCGAACACTATTTGTGAAGCTTATAACAAAGTTTCTTTTTAAATGTTATCTTTGCACTTACATTTGAAGGAATGTTAAAGCTGCTATAGAAATTATCCTTACATTTCTGCATACATTAACATGAAATCTTTTTGCGAGATACCCATCTTTCTGGCGACAAGGCGACCGCAAAACCGACCCACTCTGGGGACTTTCAATTTACTTGTAAACTCGCGTAATTTTGTGTTAAAGTAAAATTGCATGGGCGTTTGCCACGTAATTGCCGCGGCCAACTTAAATAGATTTATGAATTGCCTCTTAAATTATTCTCTTGCCCCTCTCCCAGCGCCCTCGACCAACGAAATACATTGCTTAGGTAATGTTTTTTAAACTCGGACTAGACGGGAATGTGTTGTACGGGAATATGTAACAGTATGAATAGTTAGCCGTTAGCAGACTGTCGACGTTCCATTGAATACGTCGTCTCGCTTCTAAATGAAAACTTGTATCTTATGTCATTCATTCTTATATCATTCATTCGCCTCGAAGATGATTTACAAAGAGCCTAGTGTGATACAGTATTCAGCCGTCTACAATTCTACTTAACGCTAAATGATTCAATTGGAAAACGGATCGTGTAAAAGCTTACACAAGCCACACTGCACCAACTCGTAGTCTTGTAGAGTGTGGTGGCAGTTTTAAATATTTTCCGCTGCCGGCTGACTTGCTGCCAATCGAATGTAACGGTTACGTCTGTTGGCCGACGAGGGCCGGACTCGTTGGTCGGTTCTATCAAAGCCGTTGGTTCGCTTTTCTTTATCTAGCGGGTTTAGCCAGCTACCGATATCTAGCGGCTATAGATTATTACTATTATTACAATTTAACGTCTCGGTAAAGTTTTATTAATAAACTAGCTGTTCCTGGCGCGTCAACCGCATGGAATTATAAAAACTTTATTTTATTGTTTACATTTGTCAAATTCACAACTGCAAATGTCACAATTACCATAATAACCTTGTTTCCTTAATGTTGGTAGATTATAGTTTATGGTCCCTTTCCCATATCGAGGTATTTCCAACTTATTTACCCCCTGTTTAATAGCGTGAAAATATATAGCCTAAAGCGTGTCGTAAGTGTAGGGGTTCTTATTAAAGAAAGGATTATTCAAAAGTACGCTATGATTTCTGGCATCCTGCGCCACGAAGTAGTTTGTGTTTACGCTTTATTGTATTAGTATAGAGTAGGTATACCTAAACGGATAGTACCTGTTTTGTTCTATCATTTATTACTCAAGTGACAGGAATGACGTCACGTCGCAATTAAATGTCAAATAAGCAAAGTGTATACTCGTATTTTCTGCCTGGTGTACATTATGCCAGGACAGAAGTCAGAAGCGCTGGCCTGGCGTGGATTGTTTTGCCTCACTAGCGCCACTTATTAGTTACACTTACACTACACTAGTTGTATGCATGCGCTGAATTGAGTGCCACTGTCCTACTGTAATAGTATAATATAAACTAGGCATTCCAAGCAATTTTGCAGACTCGGCATAGTGTCAATTTTATACCTTGTATGTCGGTATCTAATTACATTTTATACGACACCATACGATCGGCATTTAACATTGTTGCATTCCAATACTTGAAATTATTAATCAAAAGAAGCATACGATATATTGAGCTTGATAACAATTTTTGGGGCAACTCCCTTATATTTGGATATGACTACGTCTCTGTGGCCAGACTGGGTGCCAACAGACTACATGAGCTTATTCTTACACAAAAATGTATTAACTCAACACATACTAAATTGGAGCACCATTCACCATACTGACTTCGTTATAAGTAGAAGTAAAGAAAAATATATTTATGGTAAGGTGATTAATGCCGATCGGCTGTTTATCAATCTTTATCATTTATTTGAAGTACCTAAATTTGACATTATACCAAGCAAATATTGCTCAATGCTAGAACGAAACCAACACTCCACAACCACACAGTAAGTACATCTTTGGATTATCTGTAATATGCAATACTAATATTAGCGCGCGGCTTCGTTGGCGCGTAATTAAAAGAACTCATTTCTCCAGACTGTTCAGTTCCTATGCGCCGAATTTCAACAAACATCCATTCATCCATCCAAATATTTATATTGATTTCTTTTAAAATGTCAGCATGAGAAAAATGAACATATATTTATGCGGTGGAATTTGTTTGCAATAGAATGCAGAGAGCATGACTTCCCAGAGACGTGGACTACAGGGGGTTGATGGGCAGGGCGGTAGTGCGGGTGGGGTGGGTACAGGCGGTGATACGGTGCTGCGTTGCCTAGGTCGTAGGTAATGTCTAACGGAACTATGCGACT